AGAAGAAGAAGAAGAAGAAGAAGAAGAAGAAGAAGAAGAAGAAGAAGAAGAAGAAGAAGAAGAAGAGAAGAAGGAAAAGAAAAACTCACCAAGAAGAGCATAACACTTTTATAGACAATTTTTATAGACTACTTTCAAGAAGAGAAGGGTCTAAGTGGTGTGAGTTTTGCACAAGAGCTTGACTCAGTTGAGAGGAGAGGTGATACACGTATGTTCTAGAGGAGAGGGAGGGTCTAGTGTAGAAGCGATGTGAAGCTTGAGAAGAAATTGAGATGTATTCTTGGGGAAAATAGATAGTTATGAGGGGAGAAGGATGTAAAGAACTTAGGTGTATGTTCTAGTTATGAGGAGAGGGAGGAGGTGATAGTAAAGGACTTCGGTGTATGTTCTAATTATGAGGAGAGGGAGAGCTGATGTAAATAGAGTGATCACAAATGAGGAGAGGGAGAGCTGATGTAAAGTGGTGTATTTTCTACACATGAGGGAGAGAGGTGAGAGGTGATTAAAGAACTTTGGTTATTTCTACACATGGGAAAGCCTAGATCAGTAGCAACTCGAGGAGGTGTCATGGCGTCTGAAAAAAAAAAAAAAAAAAAAAAAAAAAAAAAAAAAAAAAAAAAAAAAAAAAAGAGAAAAATACATAGGGTTTATTTTGATGACGTCACAATCATTTTGGCCTCTTCAATTTTCAAACAGGATGGAAAATAATGACTTAAATTGTTATATTTTCACTGAACAATCATCAAAACAGACGCCATGACACCTCGAGTTGCACTAAGCCTTTCTACATACGAGGAGAGGGAGAGGTGATGTAAAGGTCTTTGGAGTAAGGTTTTGTTATGAGGAGAGGGATAGTTCATATAAAGGACTCTGAAGTATGTTTTTGTTATGGGAAGGAGAGTTGATGTAAAGTAATTTCAAGTATGGTTTTCTTACGAGAAAAGGGAAGGTGTTTTTTTGTAATTTAAGAGAAAGGAAGTTTTTTTTTTCTTTTTCTTTGTAATTTCAAGTATGGTTTTCCTACGAGAAAAGGGAAGGTGTTTTTTAGTAATTTAAGAGAAAGGAAGTTGGTATTTATCTACGAGGATTTTTATCTGAAAAGTTTTACCTACGTGTTTTTTGGTGTTAAGTGGAGGGTTAAGGTTCAGACAAGAGGTTTAAGGAAGACGAATATTTTAATTACGAACAGGATAGAATTTGAGATTCTCTGGGGAAGCGGAAGAGTAAAATTTTGAATAAAAAGGTTTGAAACAGAAAAGGGATTAATTAAGAAGTGTAGAGTTGGGGGAGGGAGGTGCAAAAGATAATGATGGTAATTTTAGTTTTCATTTCAAAGAATCTGGAGTAAGGGGTATTTAAAAGGATTGGATTATATGAAGAGAATTTCAAAGAGGTTTCGATTCTGTACCGGGAAAACATTGCACCTTCATTTGTTTATATCTGTGTATTCCTTCATCTATTAATTTATCCATCTATTTATTTTATTTCAAGGGAGAGTCGAGGGATTATTCAAACTGAAGATAAAGAAATTCATTTAGATTTAGTTGAATTTCATTATAAGACCGAAGACTAATGAAAAGGATAAACAGATTTAGGGAAAAGCGAAAGGGTAACTATATGCGATATAATTCGAAATTGCCGAAACTTTTCTTTTAAATTCTCCTTGTACGTAGCACAAAGACTGTAGAGTTCGGTCTGCAAAAAAAAATTATTTAGTCAAATTCTATTCGCGGAAATGTAGTTCTCGGGTAACTTTCCGCGCGCGCTTAGTTCTTATCTTTTTTATCTATTTTTTTATCTTATTATATTATTATTTTATTTTGTTTATCTTAGTTCTATTTATTTTTTTAGTTTTTATCTTTTTTAAATCATCCGTTCGCAGATCCGTTCGCGTAAATGTAAACAAAATGACGTTTTACGCGCGTGAAAAAAAAAAAAAAAAAAAATCCCCGTGCAAGAAAAATACTTTACAGGCTGGCGTAGCGCTATTACTGATACAGATTGTAATTATAATGATAACAACAATAATGATGAGGATGATGAGGACGACGATGATAATAAAGATAATAATCATAATGATAATCGAAATCATAATCATAATGATGATGATGATAATTATGAGAACTATTGTAATGAATGATAACAATGATACTACTAATAATAATGGTAATGACAATAATAATGATGATAATGATAATAATGATAATAATAATAAATAATAATAATAATAATAATGAATAACATAATGATAACAATAATACTGCTGAGGATGATGGTGATAACATGATAATAATAATAATGATAGAATTATGATAAAATAATAATAATGATAATGATAATGATTATAATAAAAATGATGATAATAACAATAATGATAGCAATAATCATAACAACAACAGCAAACAATAACAATAATAATGATGATGAATAATGACAATAATAGTAATAATGATAGTAATGATATCGATAATAACAAAATAATGACAATACAACAACAACAACAATAATAAATATAATAGTAATTAACAAAGTCAAGAGAAATAAGAGAAAAGAAAGAGGAAGAGGAGAGAAGAGAAAGAGAAAGAGGGAGAGAAAAAAACGAAGATGGGGATAAGAAAAAAATGAAAAAGAAGGAAAATGAGAAAAAGAGGAAGAATAGAATAGAGGAGAGAGAGAGAAAGAGGGGAGAGAGAGCGAAGGAGGCAAATAAATAAAATGAAGGAAAGACGTAAGGAAATTGTAAGTAGGGAAAAGATGAAGAGAGGAAGCAGAATAGAAAAAGAGAGATAAGGAAAATAAGAAAACAGAAAAAAAGAAACACAAGAAAGGAAACTAAGACACAAGAGGTAGAAAAAAGCAAAATCAGAAGACGACGACGAACGAAAATAGAAGAAGAAGAAGAAGAAGAAGAAGAAGAAGAAGAAGAAGAAGAAGAGAAAAGAAAAAAGACGAAGAAGAAGAGAAAGAGAGAGAGAGAAAGAGAGGGAGAGAGAAAGAGAGAGAGAGAGAGAGAGAAGAGGAGAAGAGAGAGAGAGAGAGAGAGAGAAGAGAGAGAAAGAAAGAGAAGAGAAGAGAGAGAAGATGAGAGAGAGATAGAGAGAGAGAGAGAGAGAAGAAGAGAGAGAAGATTGAGATTCGATAGATAGATAGATAGAGAAAGAGAGAGAGACATCAAAAGACGAAGAGAATCAGAAAAAAACGAAGAGAATTAGAAAAAATAAATTCTTGAAGATTATCAACATTCCCCCCCCCCTGTTTCCTAAAAAGAACATCACAGTTCCTTTTTCCTTCTTTTCCTAAAAAGAACG